ACGGAGCGGTCCTCTACCTGCGCTGGGAAACATCTGGAGGGGTTAAGACCCGGCTCGTGGAGTCCAAGGCCAAATTGACTCCAATTGAACAAAAGGGAGATGCTGTCAAGGCAGAGGTTTGTGGAGCTGTTTTTGCCACTCGCCTGAAAGGTTACTTTCTGAAGTACAGTCGGTTGGAAATAGATCGTTGGTACCATTTTCTGGACAGTCAGACTGTGTTAGGTGCCATCCAACGGGAGAGTTACGGGTTCCAGACCTTCTTTGCCAATCGAGTGGGAGAGATACAGAAGACTGGGCCTGTGACCGACTGGTGGTGGCTTCCTGGCCAGTTCAACGTGGCTGACCTGGTCACAAGAGGATGTTCCCCTGAGCAGCTTGGTGAGGGCTCTTCATGGCAGACTGGTCCCATGTTCCTAACCAAGCCAGTAGAGGAATGGCCCATAAAGTCAGCTGCAGAGGTGGCCTCTGGGACTAGAGAAGTCGTCAGTCGACTCCAAAGAAAGGCTTTTTCTGCCATCTTAACAAGGTCGCAGGAAAGGGCGCAGACTACTCCAGATGGTTTTGATAGCGTCAAAGCCGTGGTCGGCGGCCGAGTAAGTCCAGAGCTTTTACCATTCAGCAACAAGGTTACGTCTTTTGAGACTAAGGGGTCTCCTTCTGTTGCTTCTAATGTCTGCAGGATCAAGGAGTGCTGGGGTTCAGCCTTGATAAATCAAGTAGATCTTTCACGGTTCAATTCTCTAGCCAAGCTCTGTGGGGTCATAGCTTATGTCCACAGAGCCTTGCGCTTTTGGTTATCTGGCAGGGGTCGAACTGCTGTAGGATTAAAGTGGGAGGCAGTGCCCACGGCTCAGGAGCGAGTAGAGGCGTTTCAGGACTTATGCCTCGCTGCCCAAGCAGGTGTGACTTTCCCTACGACGACGCTCAACCGCCTGGTTGTGCGCAAGGATAAAACAACGGGGCTCTTGATGTGCTATGGTCGGATTCAATCCGTTGAGGAGGAGAGGTCCGGGGTCCCTTTGATCCCCTACAAGTGTCGGTTAAGCTCTCTCCTCGCTGAGGACGCCCATCGTGTCAACCACGAAGGTGTTTCTGCCACCCTTCTTCGGATGAGGAAGAGGGGCTGGGTAGTTCAAGGTCCCAGGATCGTACGGAAGGTGATTGATTCGTGCGTAAGTTGCAGAAAGTGCAGGGCCAAGCTATGCACTCAGGTGATGAGTGATCTTCCTCCCGTACGTACTACGCCAGCAGCCCTTTTGAGTACACTACTTTGGACTTGTTTGGTCCATATTTTGTCAGAGACTCAGTAAGACGACGAGTGAAGAAGAAAGTTTGGGGCGTGGTTTTTAGCTGTATGGCCTCAAGAGCAGTTCATGCAGACATAGTTGAAGATCTGTCAACTGAGGGCTTCCTGAAGGCATACCAGCGGTTTACTGCCCTGAGGGGTCACCCCAAGAAACTCTGGTCTGACCAGGGGACCAATTTCGTGGGAGCTAAACCTGCGCTGAAGGAGCTCTATGATTTCCTTGCGGGTATCGACAAAGACGAGATCCAAAGAAAGGCAGCCGTAGTTGGGTCTGACTGGATGTGGGAGTTTAGTCCAGCGGACTCCCCACACCGGAATGGAGCAGCAGAGGCAGCTGTTCGCGTGTTGAAAAGGGCGTTGAGTAACGTTGGTGAGGAGGGAAACTTGACTGCTCTGGAATTCCAAACCCTCCTCTATTTGGCGGCCAACCTCACCAATGAGAGGCCTATCGGGGCCAGAGCTCAAATTCAGGAAGAAATTGTAGATGTGTTGACACCAAACTCTTTGTTGTTGGGTCGGGCAGGGCCCAGGGGCGACAACATGGGTTTTGAGTTCCCTGCCTACCCATTCAGTCGTCTACGTGCAGTCCAGGTGGAAGTGGACAAGTTTTGGAGACGCTGGAGTCAGTTGGCCGGGCCGCACCTGTTTGTTCGGCAAAAATGGCATGCCCCGGCGAGAAATGTTTCTGTTGGGGACCTTGTCTGGGTGGCAGATCAGAACGCACTTAGGGGTCGTTTCAAGCTGGGCCGCGTGGAGGAGGCAGATCCGGATCACCTAGGTGTTGTTCGAGATGTCAAAGTAAGGATTTGTTGTAGTCGTCCCATCAACTGGTCTCAGGCAAGGAAGGACAGGGAACCATGTCATTCCACCATTCTCCACAGGGACGTAAGGAGGTTGGTGGTGTTACTGCCAGTAGAGGAGCAAGAGGAACGTGGTTCATCCCCCTGAGTACCCAGGAGATACTTGCAGATTGGGGACTCTTGGGTGTGGGGACCAGGCCCAACCTGTTTAAAACACTGTTATAAGACTTTTTGTTTTCTATATTAGTGTTTATTGCTACTGGTTATTGTGGCCTACTTAGTCTGGCACGTAGCCCAAGTGGGAGGTGTGTGGTTTTTTCCCATATTACTAACATGCCAATTTGTTTGTTGTGATTTATTATCAGCCAGACTCATATTTGCTTTAAATGACAAATTTATTTAAGACGGAGTGATTTATCTAAGTCTGGGATGGTATGTGTTAACGGCCGCTCATAGATCCTACCTGCCGGATCTTCTTTTCATTGATATCGCTGTTATGACTGATGAAGCCGAGCTGGTGAGTTTCTGTGTTAACCAAGTAACGTGTTAAAGCTATAAATATGACTATTACTAAACTGTACTGTCATTAATAGTGTTGCTTTGTTAATGTTGTATGGTTGTTTTATTTTGTGTCTTTCAGTTGATTACCTGGAATCTGTAAAGGCACGGTTACTGTACTGGTGTTAGTTTATGGTTGTGGAATAAACTTATAAAAGGCAGCAATCGGATGTCCGAGCCTGAGTACGACACAGTTTCATCAGTTAAAACACACCCTTACGGTGGGAGTTTGCTAAATTAAAGGTAGTTAACTTAGTAAAAACCGTACACGGGGGGACCTGGTGATTGACCTGCAGAGAGCTGGGACCACAGTAACAAAGGTCACCATCAGTAACACACTACAACGGCAGGGAATCAAATCCCGCAGTGCCAGACGTGTTCCGCTGCTGAAGCCAGTGCATGTCCAGGCCCGTCTGAAGTTTGCCAGAGAGCACATGGATGATACAGCAGAGGATTGGGAGAATGTCATGTGGTCAGATGAAACCAAAGTAGAACTTTTTGGTATAAACTCAACTCGTCGTGTTTGGAGGAAGAAGAATACTGAGTTGCATCCCAAGAACACCATACCTACTGTGAAGCATGGGGGTGGAAACATCATGCTATGGGGCTGTTTTTCTGCCAAGGGGACAGGACGACTGATCCGTGTTAAGGACAGAATGAATGGGGCCATGTATCGTGAGATTTTGAGCCAAAACCTCCTTCCATCAGTGAGAACTTTGAAGATGAAACGAGGCTGGGTCTTCCAACATGACAATGATCCAAAACACACCGCCCGGGCAACAAAGGAGTGGCTCCGTAAGAAGCATTTGAAAGTCCTGGAGTGGCCTAGCCAGTCTCCAGACCTCAACCCCATAGAAAATCTGTGGCGGGAGTTGAAAGTCCGTGTTGCTCGGCGACAGCCCCAAAACATCACTGCTCTCGAGAAGATCTGCATGGCGGAATGGGCCAAAATACCAGCTACTGTGTGTGCAAACCTGGTAAAGACCTATAGTAAACGTTTGACCTCTGTTATTGCCAACAAAGGTTATGTTACAAAGTATTGAGTTGTATTTTTGTTATTGACCAAATACTTATTTTCCACCCTGACTCACGAATAAATTCTTTACAAATCCTACCATGTGGATTCATGGATTTTTTTTTTCACATTCTGTCTCTCACAGTTGAAGTGTACCTCTGGTGCAAATTACTGACCTCTGTCATCATTTTAAGTGGGGGAACTTGCACAATCGGTGGCTGACTAAATACTTTTTTGCCCCACTGTATATTGAAATTATAAACAGAGATGTGTCCTTGTTTTACACAAGAAAACACTGTGTAATGCTACATGTTGTTAGTGTTTTTCAGGTCATTGTTTTGTGGGTGACAAAGTGTGTTTGTCGGCTGTCAACCTTTGCTAGTGTTCTGGAAGAATGAGTTTATTTGAGACCTGAATAAAGTGTTTTGGTAGTTGTAGTGCATTTTGAATGTGAAATGAACTGCTTTGCCAAGCTGAAGGTCAGTTAGGAGAATTGTGTGAAGAGTTTTGCAAAAGTGACCTAAGTATTGTGAAATGTGTCCTAGCGTCTGTAAAAAACTGTAATTTTGTAAGAGGAAGACTGTTCTAGCTTTAGCTCCAAAGAGGTTCAGAGAAGATTAGAAGAAGAAGATTATTTAACCTATTCACGACTTTTTCTGGCCTTCTGGTTTACAGTTTTTTTCAATCGCTAACAAGCGCCTACCCATACTTCAGGTACTTTTTCTAAACTCTTAACACAGACTCACACCTACAAAACACAATTGGCCAAATGGATAATTTTCTTCTCAAAAATACATTTTGTTAAATATATACTAACTCTTCATTTCAAAATAGAACACATCTTTCTCTGCACACACTAACTGTACAAAAACACTATAAATCTGACTCAAAATGAAATTAGTCTGTCAAAGAATAACACTTGTTTTCACCTCACAAGGTACATGCAGTCAATCAAAGTACACCTTGTTTCAAAATACTGGCTATTATTGACATTACAAAAACTGCATAGACTTTTATGTTTCAGTTTTACAGGTATTTGCATGCGAAACATGCAATCCACCATTTTGACACCAGAAATGTCTTGGTTGGTAACTGTATGTCCACATGTACAGTAATGTTCACATTCGAAAGCATTCCAGTAAAAAGCAAACAAGTTTCTGTTTCTTTACTGTTTACTACAGGAGGTACAGTAGAAACACGGTATGATAGGACAGAGAAAGTTCTACAGTATTGCTTACAGTGAACAAAATATCCATGAAACACACAAGAGCATTCTGAACAAAAAAACAACAGCAAAAAGCCAAGATAAAAGGGGGGGAGGGGGGCTAAAAAAAGGCAAAAAATTTGCATCTAATCCCTGCGATCTTCAGGGTTAGGACACATGTTTTCATCAACATCACATCTGATGTTATCCAAGTCGATGCACCTGGGATAAAACCGCCTGGTATGTCGGATCCACCCTTGGCAATCGTCAACTGTGATGTCCCTGGAGCCAGCATCCATGGCTTCAAGGAGGGACATCTGGTCATGTGGCTGATGGTCATAAACCTTCCACCTCCATGCAGAAAAGAACTCCTCTATGGGGTTGAGGAAAGGTGAATAGGGTGGAAGGAAGAGACTTACCAGTCTTGGGTGGACTTCAAACCATGTTGTTATTGCTTGCGAGTGATGGAAAGCCACATTGTCCCAGGTAATTACAAAGGTCCTCATGTTTTCACCCTCCTGACCCTGCTCTGGAACCAGGCGCTGGTGGAGATCATTGAGAAAGGCAAGCAAGCGCTCTGTATTATAGGGTCCAACCTGACATCTGTGAAGGAGTAATCCTGCATTTGCAATTGCTGCACACATGGTAATGTTTGCCCCTCTCTGTCCTGGCACATCAACTGTGGCCCTTTTTCCAATTACATTTCGTCCACGTCGACGCCTTTTGGCCAGATTGAATCCTGCCTCATCGATGTATATGAATTCATGAGGGGCCTGGTTGGCCTCCAATTCCATAACTCTCTGAAACAAAGTTTATGTAAGTCATGTTATTACTGTATACCATACTGTACTGTAACCTAGTATTGTGTAGGTTACCTACTTGCAAAGTGCAAAGCTTATAGAACTGGACATTGGATTGAATATACACTATACCTGGACATATTGTCGTCGTAGCTCCTTGACCCTCTCACTGTTCCTCTCAAAGGGAACAGTGTAGAGCTGCTTCATCCGCACTCTGTGTTTGGACAATGTCCGCGTAATGGTTGTGAGGCTGATTCTATCGATATTGTCAAATATCTCATGGTCCGCCACAATTCTAGTTTGAATTTCACGCAGTTTTATTGCATTATTTGCAGTAACCATTTCTACAATGGCAAGCTCCTGATCATTACTGAGGAGCTTTCCTCTTCCCCCAGAGGGTGGAAGACGTTGCATTCTTTAGAAAGACAAAAAATTCAACATATGCATTACTGTATGACCATATTGACATGTCAAGTGAGAATAGAAACAATCCATGTAAAATGCAATACTTACCTGTTGGTTTGTTGAAAGATGCGTATAATGGAGGCAACCGTTGACCGCCTCAAATTGGGCTGCACTCTTTCACCAGCCTCTCTTAGTGAAAGACCATGGTTGATTACATGGTCAATGATAGTGGCATGAATTTCATCACTGACTACTGTTCTTGCAGCCCTTGGAATGCCACCACCACGCATTCTTACACCTCTACCTTGCCCTCTCCTTGGGCCTGCTCTTCTCCCTGGGCCCCTTGCTCTTACTCTTCCTCGACCAGACATTACAGTGTTTGTCTTTTTTTTGTTTCCAAAAACATCACTCCTCAAGGTCTTGCCTTATAAACCCCACTGAGTCTAAGCCAGAATGGAAGAAGCTGTGGTTGGCCCAATTTACCCAACATAAATCAGCTGTGTGTCAATTATTCAATTGTTTGTTTATTATCAGCTGAGATATATTTTTGATATTGATATTGTTTTTGTACTGATATCATTGCAGAAGCAGAGGTTTTTATACTGTATCTAAGGTTTAGAATATTGTTTTTGCTATTGTGGGATGTTGTGTGTTAACATTCGTACATACTACAAAAACAGTCCATAATTTTGTTGGGAGGTATAGCTTGTCTGTTAAGAAAATGTAAGCATTGTGGAAATGTGTTCACTGACTGCATATTGGGTGAACACGACATGAAATGTGTGAATGGTATGGCCACAACAGACCGATGCTGTGCTAATTGTGTTTAGAGTTTTGCAAATGTGACAACTGTTTGGACAAACGCTTGTTAGCGACTGAAAAAAACTGTAATCCAACTGGGTACTGGTGCTTTTGTAGTGAGAGATTTGGTTCACTTTTGACCTAAAAAGCAATCAGTTGAAGAAAAAAGAAAACTACATTGTTGGATGTTCTTTTCGGATAAATTTAAACACAGTTCTTTTTATACGTGCTGCTTTTTGTGTAGTAAGGACAGACTCTGACTACTCGGGCTTTGTGGCTAATCCAAAAGATTCAAAGAAACACTTGTTAAACGTTAATCCGAGGATATTACAACTGAGGGTTAAAGGAAGGATAACATTCCACTCAATAATCCTTCAAATTTCCACCTGGCTTACAGTTCATCCTTTGAAAGTGGATGCAGTTCATGACCAAGCTGATCCTGATCAAGTGCCGGGTGAAAGACGCCGCTCGTGCCCCCAAATTCTCAAGGTAAATATGCTTGTGGTTTGTCTGTTTGGCAGTACAATAGTGGGTAGTGTTCAGTGGTCAAAGCTAAACACGACACAGCACAACAGAGATGATAAGTGATGCATTGGCTTGAAGTGGACGTGATTACTGTGAAAACCTCCCTGTGACTCACTGCTGTGTGAGAGAGTGTTTCTGCCAGCATGGATGGGGTGTGCAGAGAAACCTAAATCTTGGGGATTGGATGAGTAAATAAGGCTATTTGTGCATGTGCATGAAGCGGTTCTGTGCTATAATAATCTCCAAATGTGAAAAATACTGGGGGACACATAAAGGAAGTGCCATGTTTTAATTGCACTCATTTTACTGTGCGTTTCATTGTTAGGTATGCTGTGGGAAAGTGAGGATAAACGTTAGCCATTCCAGGGTTACATCTACCTTTTAATGATGAACAATGGTGCTTCCATATGGAATAATAAATTTCAATAACTCTCTCCCTCCCACTCTGTCCGTTTCCCCAATGTTTTCCTCAGTCCACTGCTCCTCATTTGCATGACAGTTGAGAACAATATTGCCGAAGCAGTCCAGACAAAGGCTCTCTCTGTCTTTAATTTTGTTCTCTTTTCTCTCTTTCAGAGCCTCTCAGATAATGGGATGTTTCGCAGTCATCAAAGCGTGACCCCCTGTCCAGACTGAAGCCAGCAACAGGTTTGATCACGTGCACCAAATCACAGAGAGCAGTGATGTCAAGTGGAAATAAAGTCTGAAGTTTTCTTCAGGAGAAAGCTGCAGCAGCATTTCCAAATAAATGAGTTCATTGTGCTTCAAATCATTTTTAGGTTTAAATTCAGCTGAATAACTAAATCGGTCTCAGTGGATTGGGGATGTCGAACTTGGTTTTTAAAGGCGGCAAAACCAAATATTCTGGAGCGCAAACTGAGCGCTTCTAGCTGTCACACGTGCCTCTGGGAAAGAGTGAACTGAAAACACTTTGACGTACTGCCTTCTTTTAAAATTGTAACAGCGCGTTCTCATCCCGGGGCGTAAAACACTGCCATTCTGAGGTGGCTGGTGTAGCACAAACAGGCACAAGTTGCCCCTTGGTGCTCCGGTTGCAGTAATGCTTGATGCTGACAAGTAACCGTGCACTTCTAAAGAGTGGGAAGAGGAGAGTGGAGGAGCTGTATGGCGTTATTTTTTTTGCCACTATTCTGAGCGCACGTAAAAGAAGTTTGAGTGCACGTAAAAAAAAATTGCAGTTGCAAGTGTTGCATTTTGAGGAGAAATTTATTTTGAGCGAAGAAAAGCTAAATTTGAGTGAACAAAAGTCATTGCTGCGTGCAAGAAATGTATTTCAGTGTTTGCTATTATCCACACACACACACAATAGCAGCCCCTCTCGCTCACTTTTTGCATTTGCGCTTGCTCCCAATGTGTTGCTCGCGCTCTCAACATTTCTGCCCGTGCGCGCTCAACTCTATCTGTACACCGCAGTGTTGCCAACTCCTCAGTAAGGAAAATCGCTATTGGCTGTCGAAAAGTCGCAAGAAGTCGCCAAATGACGTCATTGCCTAATTTGCATAATCGGTCATGCTAATGTAATTGTAACCTACGCTGTTGGAGAGAGAAATAACATCGTGGAAGAGACATAAAGTGAGTAAAAAACGTCCTAAATGCAGTTAGAATTTATTTAGAACTACAAATTAAATTTCTTTTAGCAATTATTGTCACAATTCCAACCCTGCTCCTTTATCCGGGCCTGGACCGGCAAAAGTGACCTGGCAGTCTGGTGGAGTTACTTTGTGTGTGAGAGTGTGTGTTTATAAGTAGTTTTAAACCTTGTGATCCACAAAACAGCATAACAGTAAAAGAAGAACTGACTGCATTACAGTCAGTATGGGAGCAGCGGCTTCGCCCATGCGCGATTCATTTGCCGTTTGGACGCACAGGTGTGTGAACGTCTCCTGCCCTGATAGCAACTGGGGGAGGACTATCCTCCACCTGTGAACGCTTTGGCACGGCGAGGTGCCCACAGCAGCACCGCTGCTTGTTGAGCGTAAGAGCGATACGCGTTTTCACGTCAAAAAGTCGTCATAAATAAGTCTCCAATAATACCAGAAAAAGTCGCCAGATTTGTCGCTAGTCGCTTTTTATAAAAAAATGTCGCTAAGGGGGTCTGAAAACTCGCTAAATATAGCAACAAAGTCGCTAAGTAGGCAACACTGGTACACCATTATATGTGTGCCACGAAACCAGCCAATCACAGACTTGGATGCCAAAAAATCTGATTGGCTGTTTTGGTCTCCAATCAGCTCGAAATGACGAAATGCAATATCCCAGAATCCATTTCGCCCAAAACTCAAACGAGGCAGTCAACACGGAACAGAGTGGCGGAGTTTGAAATATTACTCTTTCTGGGTCACAAAATAAACTTTTAAGATATTTTCATGCGAGAATGGTGCTGTGTTAACTTCAAATATCTGCTTGATTTATCAAGACATCACATATTTGCACAAGTGCTCTAACGTTTTCGGAGATGCCTGTTACCCACTAGCTGACCGCATAGCTGGACTGCCATTGTGCATACCGCTCATTTGCCCGGTGGGCCAATGGTGATTTTTCATTTTTATGTTTGTTTGTTTGTTTTTGTAACGGCATAAACAATGAAAGGTGGTGGATTAGCCAATTGGTCATGATCAACTCTGGGCTGGACCAATTACAATACATCTGTATTGAGGGGAAAAGGAACGTGATTTGTCCCGGACTTCAGCTAGAATGGAAAAAGACACGAAGCTGGAGTTATTCTGTCTTTACACTGTCAGCTGCCTCTTCTTCTGTCATTCTCTCCCCTCCCTCTCCTGTTGCTACTTCAATCATGAAACTGAATCATGAAATGATCAGCTGATCATCTCTCTCGTTTGTTTATCGCCCACTTTGCCCAAAATAGGAAACCAGCGGATGTTGCGCTAAACAACAGCAGCATGTTTAAGCTTGATCAGCTGATGTTAGAATTTATTTAATATTACTTTCTAGTATCAGCTGATGTTTGCTGGAGCCACAGCTGTAAAAGCTGCTGGTCATGATATCGGTTTGTATATGTGGTGAGAGGGAAACATGAAGGTGATACAAATCATACATATATACCAACAAGACAGTGTACATCACTGTCACAACAGCGATTGTTTTTGTTCAAAGGCTTTATGGTTTTTCCTATAATACCTGGTGGTGCAGTCGGCTGATTTCTTGTCAGTTCAGCCTTATATATTATGTTTAACCCGAGTGACCACCCGGTCAGCTGGTGGGTAACAGGTTCTCCGAACACGTTAGAGCACTTATGCAAATATGTGATGTCTTGATAAATCGAGCAGATATTTGAAGTTAACACAGCACCATTCTCGCATGAAAATATCTTAAAAGTTTATTTTGTGACCCAGAAAGAGTAATATTTCAAACTCCGCCACTCTGTGTTCCATGTTGACTGCCTCGTTTGAGTTTTGGGCGAAATGGATTCTGGGATATTGCATTTCGTCATTTCGAGCTGTTTGGAGACCAAAACAGCCAATCAGATTTTTTTGCATCCAAGTCTGTGATTGGCTGGTTTTGTGGCACACATATAACAGAGTATAGAAAGAGTTGAGCGGGCACGGGCAGAAATGTTGAGAGCGCAAGCAACACATTGCGAAAGTGCAAAAACTGAGCGAGAGGGGCTGCTATTGTGTGTGTGTGGATAATAGCAAACACTGAAATACATTTTTTGCACACAGCAATGAAATTTGTTCACTCAAATTCAGCTTTTCTTCACTCAAAATAAATTTCTCCTCCAAATGCAACACTTGCACCTGCAAAATTTTTTTTTATGTGCGCTTCTGTTTAAACTTTGAAAGTTTCATAACAAACAATGTGGAAGTGATCATTTTAACATTATGTACTGTCACACACACACACAC